CATATAGTTCTTCACTTTCTCGAGCACAATATGTCACTTGCCAAAGTGAGAGTTCTGAACTTAATTCTAAAATCTGAATGCCTTAATTACATTGTTGTGATCTTATACTGGAGTCCACTTGTTTGAAAGCTGGGGGGAATATAAACTTGAGTGAAGCTGAGGCAGCCCTTCGCATCATGGTAGACTCTGTAAGAGCCCACTGTGGTCTGTAAAAGCCTAAAAACCTAGGGAAAGGGGAATGGTAGGCGGTTGAATTGCACTGGAAAGAAAAATTCTGAAATCAAGGAAGTTAGGAAGACTGTCTAATAAGGCAGTAATACCCTTGAGTGTGTAGGTTTGGCAAATAAATAGAGAGAGTCATCAGGCCTGGTGAGGAAATATGAGAAAAAAAATGAATAAACTACCCTAAGTTGCTGAACCACTGTGAGAAATCACTATAGAGAGTAAGTGGACATATACTCTGGGTGAAATGCCCTAAGTTGCTGAGTCACTATGAATAGATACTGAGTGGAAATATGCTCTGGGTGAAATGTCCTAAATTGCTGAGCCACCGTAAATTAAGTGGAACTATGCTCTGGGTGAAATGTCCTAAGTTGCTGACCCACTATGAATAGATACTGAGTGGAAATATGCTCTGGGTAGGGGCCTGAGTGGGAAAAATCCAGAAGAAAATCAATATGGACAAGGAGAAAAAAGGTTGAGGGAGAAATAAGATGCAACCAATGTTGTTGCAGAATCTGTGAGGAAGTCCTTAGAATCTAAAAATCTCAGTAAGAATACCCTAGTTGATGGCATGCAGGAAATAGGTACTGATCACAATGATGTCCATTTATTCTTAAACTGATTAAATCTTAGAATGGATCATAGGCAAAAACTTGAATTTTGGCTGTGATATATGTACACACACACTGAAAAACTGTGATACTACTTTCCCGTGATGAACAATGGTGTATAATCTGTCCAGTGAGGAACTTGAATCTGAGACTAACATTGACACAATGTTGCATTTACTTCTATTCATTTAGCCACATTCTTTTTGGATTACTATCATTACTTTTATCCATGCAAATTTAAAAATATCACTTCTTCTTTCTGAGTCACTCCTTGTGTGTCTAGGTCAATAGGAATGTAGCATGATTTTGTTTGCTAGAGGATTAGCAAAACTCTGAGTTTGGGTCTGTTGCTTGAGGACAAGCAACACTTCAAGTTTGGGGGTATCTGATAATATAAAAATATATACCCTTTTTGCAGGCATTTATTACTCATTTCTACTCATAATTTAGTGTCAATTAGTAAAGATTAGTTTACTTTTGGGATGATTTTGCAGTTCAGGTATCTCAGAGGGTCAATGTGGAAAATTAGCATAAAAGAAGACTAAATTGCACAAAAAGACATCAAAATGGACTGGAATGGAAGCTGCTGGAAATTGAGCTGCTGAAGGATTGATCGGAGCTGAAGCAAGTGGAGAAATCCTTGCTGTGGAAGGATGATTGATAGCAGATGGATACAAGTGGAAAACTCTGCAGCAACTACCTCAATAGAAGAAGAAGAAATGGCAGCTACTCTACTGTCAAGTTGATGCTACAGATGATGTTGCTGCTGTCAATCAGGAAGAGCCAAGACTGAATTCTTGCTGGCAAAGGAAAGAATTGCTTCGCCATCACTGCAAGTTATTGCTGCTGCAAGTTGAAGAAGACAAAGAGGGAGAATATGTGGAAAACAGCAGCTACAACCTGCAGCTGTTGAATTGATGGATTGGCTGCTATAGTCAGGTGAGAAATGGTGTTGGAAGTGATCACAGGAAACACGGAAGGAAAAAGTAGACAGATTTGGGCTGAATTGGGGGCTGAAACACAATAATGGAAGAAAGCAAGCTGCTGATGCTGCTGCTTGCCACTGCTTCTAGTTGAGCTCCTGCAGATTAAAGAATGAAGAAATAGAGATTTGTGGCTGGAAATTGGAGAACTGCGCCGGAGAAGCAGACTAAGAGAAGAAGGCAATGATGAGAGGAAGGTGGCCAATTGCGGCTGAAGAGAAGGAGCAGCCAAAGAGAAGACTGCAACTTGCGAACTAAGCAAGTTGCAGAATAGACAAACCTCTATTGCTGCAAGTTGCTGCCTCACCTTTCTGCTACAGAGAAGAAAGCCAGAAACCAACCAATCTAAACTTCTCCAAATCTCTATAAATAGTCAGTGAATAACAGTTAGAAAAACAACACATTGGGTAGTTAGATGTAGTATAAAAGACAGTAGTTAGGTAGTTAGTTAATAGGTTAGAAACGGGGTAGTAGCAGGAACAAGGAGGCAGACTGTCACTTTGTCAAGTGGCAAACGCCACTCGTTTTTTTTTCCATAGTGTGCAGGCAGAAACTGTCCCTACTACCATGTTCCCTTTCTTTCTTTTAACCTTTTGATCTAGACTTATGTCTTATCTTTTGTACTCTCCTGCTCTAATGTTTAACTCAATAAGTATGAGTAGCTAACTCAGTTAAGAGTTCAATCCCTACTCTCTTTATGTGAAGATTTTGATTCAGTTTCCTTGATGAGGTTTGTGTCTTGATAAGTGATTTAATTAACCTTTTAGTTAACTTGGCCACTTAATTAAAAGTGCTTGCATGGTTATGAAGATCTGGAATGGGGAGCATAACCTTAGAACTGCTTAATCTAGTCTATGACAACGGAGGAAATCTACCCTGCTGTTCCAGACATCAACTGAAGTTAGGTGAATGGCATAGGCGATCATAAAGGGCTTAAGAACTCAATGGCTTAGATTAATGAATTACTCTGACTAGAAGGTATGTGAATTAGATAATCTAGGACTCTTTATTCCGTCTGGAAGGAATTATAAAAAATATAAGTGCCTGATCGAACAATTAATCATACACTACAGGAATATTTGAATCAAAACTAGAACATAAAGGTAGGAGGTGATTGACCCTTCTGCTCTTCTCTCTGTCAAGTGACTATTCTCACTCTCCCAAGTGATAATCTGTTCTACTCATTTTCTTTCTTTTCTGCACGTTAATCAGATTTTGAGAGGTTGACTGCCGTCTCTATGGAACGACCATGCTTACCACTAGTTACTAGTTTTAAGTAGGTTTATAAATATTCTTTATCGGAAGTGGTTTAACGACAAACACCACCACCAAATGTTCCAGTTTCCCAGGCACTCCTCCAGACAATGCTGCCCTCCAATTGCCCCCGTTATTTTACAATAAGCTTCCGTCCTACCTACTTCCCTTAGACCAGAACACTTGGTGGCTGTTTTGAGTTGCAAGTCCACTTTGGTCAATCATCTCAGTCACGAAAGTGAGTCTATCACTCGCCCAATTGAGACGACATATTATTGTCCCTTGCTTTGTGTAGATAATTAAACTTAAGTGTTGTCGTTCTGATTGTATCATAGTTGGCAAGACACTTCAGGTTAACCATCCATGCAATTCTGGTGGTTTGAAAATGGACTGTCGTTGATTTCAACCCCCAATAGAATATTTATAAAACCTACTTAAAATTATTAGCTAGTGGTAAGCAGGGTCGTTCCACAGAGTTGGTACTCAACCACTCAAAATCTGATTAAAGAGCAAAGAAAGTAAAAGAGTTGAACATATTTGTCACTTGGGAGAGTGAGAATAGTCAGTTGACAGAGTGAAGAGGAGGAAGGGTCAATCACCTTCCTATCTTTATGATTCAGTTTTGATTTAAGTAATTCTGTAGTGTATGATTTATTGTTTGATCAGGCACATGTATTCTTTACAATTCCTCTCAGACAGAGTAAAGAGTCCTAGATTACTAAATAATCTACCTCTCAGTTAGATTATTAAGATTAATCTAAGCCATTGAGTTCTTAAACCCTATTGATCACCTATGCCAATCACCTAACTCTCGTTGATGATTGAAACCAAAGAGAATATTTTCTCCTTTGTCATAGACTAATTTAAGACGTTCCAGCTATGTTTGCCTCTCAGATCTCCATAACATACAGGCACATTTAATTAAGTGGTCATTTTAATCAAAAGGTTAATTAAAGCACTTAAACTAGAAACAATGCTTCATCAAGGAAAACTGAATCAAAACCTTCACATAAAGATAGTAGGGATTAAACCCTCAACTGAGTTAGCTACTCATGTTTATTGAGTTAAACATGAGAGCAACAAAGTGCAAAATATAAGACATAATTCAAGATCAAAAGGTTAGAGGATAGAAGGGAAAGATGGTAGCAGGGCAGTCACTGTCTGCTCACTTAGGCGAGTGGTGTTCGCCACTTGACAGAGTAACAGTCTGTACTCCTGTTCCTGCTACTACCCTCTTTCTAACCAACTAAGTAACTACCTAACTACTGTTTTTGTAACATATTCTAACTACCCAATCTGTGCCTTTTTAACTACCGCTATTGGATGACTATTTATAGAGATTTGGAGAGGCTTGGATTGGTAGATTTTTGGCCTTCTTGCAGCAGATTAGAGGAGACAGCAAGTTGCAGCAGCCAAAGGCATTTGTTTATTTGGCAAGTTGCAGTCTTCTCTAGTTAGCTGCTTCCTTCTTTAGTCGCAATTAGCCACCTTCTAAACGTCATTGCTGCTTCTCCTTAGTCTTCTTCTCCGGCGCCTTCTCACCATTTGTAGCCACAAATCTCCATTTCTTCATTCTTTAATTCTCACAGCTCAATTTGCAGTAATCAGCAAGCAGCATTAGCAACAGCATGCTTCCTTCCATCATCGTGTTTCCAGCCCCTAATTTATCCTCAATCTTCTGCCTTTTCTTCCTTGTTTCTTGGTTCACTTGTTATACCATTACTTACCCTTCTGCAGTAGCCAATCCATCTATTCAGTAGCAGCATCAGTTGGTAAGTAGCAGAGTTGCAGCTGCTGCTCTTCACATATTCTCCCTCTTTCTCTTCTTCCACTTGCAGCAGCAACAACTTGCAGTGATGGCAAATCAATTTCCTTCCTTGGGCATCAATATTTCAGCTCGTGGCTCCTATTTGATTGACAGCAGCAATAACTACTGCAACAGCAACTTGGCAGCAGGGCAGCTGTCCTTCTTCTTCTCAATTGAGTGTGCTGCTGCAGATTCTTCCAAGTTGGAATCATCTACTGCCATTCTTCCTTCCTCAACAAAGATTTCTCCACTTGCTCCAGGTCTGATTAATCCTTTAACAACATGATTTTCAGCAGCTTCCATTTCTGTCCAGAATGATGTTTTTTTGTGCAATTTGACCCTCATTTATGCTAGTTTCACTGGCCTCTTGATTATCCTAAAATACAAAATCAACCCAAAAGTAAACTAATTCTAATTAATTGACACCTAATACTAAGTAAAAATGAGTAAAAAATACCTGCTAAAAGTGTATATATTTTACTATCATCAAATTCCCTGATAAGAGTTGCTCCACTCATTATGATTTCTACTAACAGATTGATTAATAAACAAAATACTAATTGAACCAAAACTAAGAAGAACAAAAAATCTTACCTTGGGTTACCTCCCAAGAAGAGCATTAGTTTAAAGTCTCATGTCAGACTCAGTGGTACTTTTATTCTGCCTCCTTGAGTTGCGTCACATCCTTTTGCTGCATCTCTTGGTTCTGAACTCTATGGTGTACTTCTCTCCTCTTGGGATTCAACAGTGTGTCACTTGTAGTGATCCAACAGATCTGTCCTGTATCTTCCTTGACATTTGTGCCACCTGTTTCTGCATATCGTCTTTATAGTGGCATCAAGACTAGCAAGAACATTACCCACCTTAATCCAGTCCTCCTCCTTGACTCTGAATGGTTGATTCTGAAATCCAGGTGGTTGAGCTGGTCTTTGATTGTTTGATTTCTGATTATTCCAGTTGTTGCTCTGCTGAGGCCTCCAACTGTTATAATTGTTGAATCCTTCTCTGTCATTTCCTTATCTCACGGACTCAGTGGCGGAGCCAGGAGTTTAAGAGAGTAGGTGCAAAAATTTTTTTAAAAAATAATGTATTGAATTTTATTTTTTTTTTTAGGAAAGGGAAAACTATGAACTTATGCGAGGCATTTGAAATAGAGCTCGTCTTTTCTTCATCTTGTCAAAATCCTCGATAAGTGTATCCATTTCAAACTTCTCCGCAATCACTTTCTCAATATAAAGTATCATACAATCGGATATAAACTCGTCCTCCATTGTGGCGTAATTCGATTTTGATGAGTTTCATAGCTGAAAAAGCAGGCACTACAGAAGTTGTAGAAATAGGAAGCGTCAAGACAAGATAAATCAACCGATCAATAAGATAATAATTCCCCATAATTAGAACTAAGTCACCTATGTAAGAAATACATTAATAATTTAATTATAAATATAACAGAAATATAGAATGATCAAATCTATGATATCCAAACAAAAGATTTATAAAAATAGATTCAATTTAAGTTTGGAATCTTTTTAACCCTCTAATACTGCAAAAAGCATAATCTAAAGCTTCAAGTTCTCTTTGGCCAAACTGATTTTTTTCGTAAATTAAGAAATCAAGCACCTCAAAATGATTCTTGTTTTTAATCATACAACATAAATTTTACATATCCAGTCAACAAACCCCCTACCATGCCATTATTTCTAACCTAGTAAGTAGTAATATTAGTTTATAAAAAGATTAAAACTTAAAACTTAAAAACTTCCTATCGTGGGGTAGATAGATGCATTACCAAAGAATAAATTCACAGTTTCACATCACGTGCTAATATGTCTATGTTTAAATTCTGGAATGACAATAAATAAATAACAAAATTTACCTGAAATCGGAATTAAAATCTTGAAAAAATTGGAGTGAATGGGCCAATTTTGGGGTTTGACTTTGGTCGTTTGGGGAAGCTTTTCTACTGCTACTGCCTACTGCCGCCGCTCTTCGTTAAACTTAAGAATTATAAGTTACTTTTTTTTAAGGATTTTTTTAGTCTAATAAAAAAAATATTTAATAGGGTTATTACTGGGTTTGGACTTTCGTACATAGCCAAACCTGTCTTCTAAATGTGGTTTGGATTTTTTTTTTACTTGAAATTCATTTAACCAATATTTCTTTCTTTTTTTTTTTTTTGCAAACTTTCTTTCGGTAATAATTTTTTTTATTAAACTTTAAATATAATAATGCTTCAAAACATAGTTTGGATTTATATAAAAAAATTATTTTTTTTGTATGTCATTACAAAAAATTTTAAGGGGGTGCGAAATTAATTTTTTTTATTTTTTTCCTATACAAAATATATACCCTCTAAAAAATTTAAAAACGGAGGGGGCGCGGCCACACTGGCTGGCCCCCCCTCCCTCCACCTTTGCACAAACTGAACCTCTTCCAATGTGGCCTGACAATTAGAGCTATTATGAGATCTTGTGCATATATCACAGACATCAACTTTTGGCTTGTTGATGTCAACTCTTAATTTAGATATTTCACTAGTGATAGCTGCCATCTGGGCTTGCAAGTGAGTTGTAGCATCAAGCTCCAACACTCCTGCTTTCTTAGCTATAGCTCTGGGCTTCTTCTGCCATCTAAAATGATTAGTACACATGTTTTTTAACACCTGTATTGCTTCTTCTACAGGTTTCATCATGAATGCTTCTCCAGAAGATGAATCAAGTGATTCTCTAGAAGCTTGCTGCAATCCATTGTAGAACATACACAACTACATTGGCTTGTCTACACCATGTTGAGGACATTTCCTCATCAATTTCTTGAATTTTTCCCAAGCCTTATAAAGAGTCTCTGTCCCATGCTGCTGAGAAGTCATGATGGCTAACCTTAAAGCAGTAGCTTTGACAGGTAGGAAGAACTTGGTAAGGAATGTCTGTCTGAGTCCATTCCAGGAGTTGATTGAATTGTTGGGCAGAGTGTCCAACTATTTTGCAGCTAAGTTCTGCAATGTGAATGAAAATAGTCTCAAGTATACCTCTTCTTTGGACAAACCTTGAATTTTGAAGGTGCTGCACAATCTCAGGAATTTCCTGATGTGCTCATTGGGATCTTCACTAGGCAGTCCATAGAAAGGGCAAGCAGCTTGCACCCATTGAATCATCTGAGTTTTGAGCTCAAAGTTCTCTGCTGCAACATCATTGTACACAAGTAGAGTCTAAACTTCCTCTTCTTGGGGTACAAAGTAATCTCTAAGCAGTCTGGGTTGAGCTGGTTGTAGCTCTCTTTGTTGAGGTTGATCAGCTGCTGCTACCTCTGCCATTTGCTTATAGTTTTCTTTAAGAACACGAGCAGCAACTTCTCTGTTTCGCAAGGCTTTGGATCTCCTTACTGTGATTTCAATTTCTGGATCAAAACTCAGCTCTCCTAATGGATTGATTCTAGTTATAAACCAGTAATCAAAACATGAAAGGAACAATTGCAAGATTTTTGATTTGAGTGAGTGAATTTGAATGAAACTAGCAAACTAAAAAGAACAAAAGCAGAACATAATAATCAGACTTCAAGAACTTTTAACGCCATTTCCTGCAACCGGTGCCACTTTTGATAGATGATGTAACAGTCGTTGATTCACCCCCAAGAGAATATTTATAAAACTTACTTAAAATTATTAGCTAGTGGTAAGCAGGGTCATACCACAGAAATGACAGTCAACCTCTCAAAATCTGATTAAGTGCAAGAAAAGAAAAGTAAAGGAGCTGAACAGATTTGTCACTTGGGAGAGTGAGAATAGTCACTTGAAAGAGTGAAGAGGCAGATGGGTCAATCACCTTCCTACCTTTATGATCCAATTTGGATTTAAGTAAACCTGTAGTATACGTTTTTTTGTTTGACCAGACACATATATTCTTTATAATTCCTCTCAGATAGAATAAAGAGTCCTAGATTATCAAAATTACCTACCTCTTAGTCAGTGTAATTCATTAATCTCAGCCATTTAGTTCATAAGCCCTCTTTGATAACCTATGTCAATCACCTAACTCTCGTTGATGATTGAAACCAAATGGTAGATTTCTTCCTTTGTCATAGACTAGATTAAGTCGTTCTGAAGTTATGCTCCCTCTCTCAGATCTTCATAACTATACATGCACATTTAATTAAGTGACCAGTTTAATCAAAAGGTTAATTAACATACTTATCTAGACACAATGCCTCATCAAGGAAAACTGAATCAAAACTTTCAAATAAAGATAGTAGGGATTGAACCCTTAACTGAGTTAGCTACTCATATTTATTAAATTAAACATGAGAGCAACAAAGTACAAAAGATAAGACATAATTTAATATCAAAAGGTTAGAGGATAGAAGGGAAAGATGGTAGCAAGGGCAGTTTATGTCTGCTCACTATGGCGAGTAGCGTTCGCCACTTGACAGAGTGACAGTCTGCACTCTTGCTCCTTCTACTACCCTGTTTCTAACCAATTAACTAGCTACCTAACTACTGTTTTTGTAACTAATTCTAACTACACAATCTGTTCTTTTTTCTAACTGTTGTTGGCTGGTTATTTATAGGATTTGGAGAGGCTTGGATTGGTGGAGTTCTGGCCTTCCTTGCAGCATATTAGAGGAGACAGCAAGTTACAGCAGCTGAAGTTATTTGTGTATTCAACAAATTGCCCAATTGGCAAGTTGTTGTCTTCTCTTGGCAGCTCCCTTCTTATCTTCAGCCGTAATTAGCCACTTTCTACTCGTCATTTCTTCTTCTCCTTAGTCTTCTTCTCTGGTGCATCTTCACCATTTGCAGCTACAAGTCTCCGGCGCTCAACTAGCAGTAGCAGCAAGCAGCAGCATCATCAGCATGCTTCCTTCCATCATTATGTTTCTAGCCCCCAATTCAGCCTCAATCTTCTGCCCTTTTCTTCCTTGTTTCCGGGGTCACTTGCTATACCATTGCTCACCCTTCTGTAGCAGCTAATCCATCAACTCAGCAGCAGCATCAATTAGTAAGTAGCAGAGTTGCAGCTGCTGTTCTCACATATTCTCCCTCTTTCTCTTCTTCCACTTGCAGCAATAACAACTTGCAATGACAGCAAAGCAATTCCTTCCTTGGGTACTAAGATTTCAGCTCATGGCTTCTCCTTGATTGACAACAGCAACAGCTACTGCGGCAGTTACTTCGCTGCAGAATAGCTGCCATTCTTCTCTTCAATTGAGTGTGCTGCTGCAGATACCTTCCAACTGTGATCATCTACTGCCAGTCTTCCTTCCTCAGCAAGGATTTCTCCACTTGCTTCAGCTCGGATCGATCCTCCAGCAGCCTGAATTCCAGCAGCTTCCAATTCAGTCCAAAATGATGCTCTTTTGTGCAATTTGGCCCTCATTTATACTGATTTTCTATATTGACTCCTTGATTACCCTGAAATACAAAATCAACCTAAACGTAAACTAATTCTAACTAATTGACACCTAATTCTAAGTAAAAATGAGTACAAAATACCTGTTAAAAGTGTATATATTTTACTGTCATCACCACTCTTGCCATGAACAAAAGACCCCCTTCAATTGGGCCAAAAAAAAGGAAAATAAAACCGAGTTCACTTGGACTTTGGTTTGGATTTGACCGAGGGAAACAAAACCCACTCCAATTGGATTTTGTTTTTCTTTGACTTTGCTCTATAAAAGCAAGGCTTTTTGCACAACCTTTGTGCGTGTGTTTCCAGCCGAGAGAGAAGAAAATTGCAGCAGCTGTGCATAGCTTTGTGTACGAGAGAGAAAGAGAGAAAACTAGGGTTCCAGGATTTTGGAGTTGCGAGAAAGAAAGTATTTCACTTTGAGGCTTTGATCGAATGATGAAACAGAGTCAATTGTTGGTGCAAGTTTGCATGTGTATTCGTCTCAACAAGGTCTACAACTTTTCTGGTTTACTTTTCGGTTTAGCTCTCTTTAGGTGAGATCCTTCCAATCCCTACTTTGTGAGTTAGGTGTTTGTTTGGAAGAGGAGTTTTGTTGTAATCCACCTTTGGATGAAGTCCTGTATATCCACCGGTTGGTGAAGACTGTTTTCTATTGTTACAGTCCCGTGGTATTTTCCGATTTGGGTTTTCCATGTAAACATGAGTGCCTGCTTTACTTTATCAGTTCTTTGATTATTTACTTATTTGATTGTCCTATTTTATTGAAAGTAGAAAAGGAGTTTTTCTTGGAGTTCGTTTCCGCTGGTCTGTTTTGTTTATGCCCTTTTCGCCACAACTATATATGTGTGTGTGATTCATATTATGTTAACCATACGCACGAAACGCATCAAATAAATCCTTTTAGTTATCAGTGTTTTTTAAATGTAAATGACGACATTACGTAGGTATATAGTTCAAAGAAGTTTTTGAAATCTTTCAATCTTCTATCAAGTTTTTGTAATCAGTTTACATACATATGTAGCTGAAAAGAAATGGGAACTGAAGAAGAAGGAACAAATCCCGATTGAAAAGAAAATAAAAATAAAAAGATCAATAACATTGAAAAGAAATCTCAGTACATTTTCAAAATCACACTCATTGCATGCAGAGAATGATACAGTTTTTATTTTAATTTATTTTTGTTCTTTTTGGTCCTTTAACTACAGCAGAGTAAATGGTTTCATCATTTATCCAAAGGAATTTCTCAGCCCATGCTAATCCAAACTAATTAAGCTAGATACAATTTCTAAGGTTAAAAGGGAAGTTTCGTAATCTGTCATAGTTTACAACACATAATAATAATAATAATAATAATAATAATAATAATAATAATAATAATAATATGATGTTAAATAATCTTAATACACATTGTTATAATTTATAACTTTATAAGGAATTTTATATCGATCTAAGATATGCCGAAGATTTATTGATTTTAAATCAATCTTCCTTTCCTTATATTCGTAGTAAGTCCAGGTGATGTACGAATGATGAGACTTACACACTGCCATTTGCTTTTATAGAAAAATTTAATAATAGCCAGGTGTTAATACTTATGGATAGAATGGTATAATATTAAACTCATAGGTATATTCTTTGAGTGTATTGTACCATTTGATTCCATGAGGTTATTAGTTCCTGTTTTTCGGTTAAAAAAAAGGAATTTTACATCATCATTATTTTTTTTGTTGTTGTATGGTCAAACAGATGGGTAGCACCTGCATAGACAATGTTTTTATTTTAACTATATTCTCAGCCCGGCCATTGCCCAGATGTTGTTTAATGTATAAATTTGTAACTAAATAGAGAAATAATATGTTCTCTATTTTTAGTTAAAATTAAGTTTTAATATTTGTATCAATTTTAGTATAAAAATATCATTTGTGCTTCTTGAGAGTAGATCCCAGTTTAATATTCATCAAAATTTTAGAATAAAGATTAATGAGTACCCCTTAGGCACCTCCTTACCAGTCACACCTTGATGATGGCCAAATGTCTTGTTGCGTGCTTCCTCTCTTCTTCTTGTCTGGTCTCATCAATCGACTTGATGATGATCAAAATTTTGTTGTGCACTCTCTTCTCTCCTCACTTGTGTTGGCATCGTTGGATCTAGATTTTTGCCTTTTACTGATTGATGAAAGTTGGAGATTTTTAATTTTTTAATTTTGATGATTGATGAAAAGTAGAGATATTACATATTTTTTAAAGTTGAACTATGAGATTAGATTGGTTGAGAGATTTTATGGATTTTGGATTAGATGACAATAATTAACATACTATTTTACCATATTTGAAGTATGGAGAAGATAAAAACGTAATTTATTTTTTATTTTATTTTTCTTTCTAACATGAAATGACGTAGTATTGAATTATGTAGTTTAGGCGGGAAAAATATATTTTGTGGAGCTACCACGTGGCTTAAGTGATAACTGATTTCAAGAGGTAAAAATGGAGTCCTATTTTTCTTTTTTGTTTAAACTTCTTTTAAATTAAATTTGAAAATGTAAAATTCCTTATAAAGTTATAAACTGTAAGAATGTGTATTAAGAATATGAAATATTTTCAGTTATACAACTACATTAGCTTTGTAGAGCCTGCGCTCCAATATGAGTTAGGGTTTGGACTACCTTTGTCTGTAAGTATCTCTATAAGCATTGTTATGATAAACTCTCACATGATTTTCTAATTTCGCATACGAACTTATCACTTTGAACTTCTTCTTTTTTTTTTTTTTTTAAGCAAAAGAAAAATAGGCTTTGCAACACTGCGAAATAAGATGGCGTAATACACGAAGAGAGTATACCTCTAAGATGAATATTGATACTATCTTATTCCACAGAAGCTCACCCTGTACTTTAATAATTATAATCTCATAAAAGTAGCAGTGTATTAGCTAACCACTATTATATCAAACAAGACGACCTTTGACATAAGAGAAGAAGACTGATCTAAAACCAGTAGCCCTTTTACATGTCTAAGCAAAGTTTCAAAAGATAAATAAACTTCTGAAACCCTTGAAACAGTCATTTTAGCTAGCATATTTGCTACTGCATTGGCCTCCCTATACATGTGTAAAATGCTGAAACTGTTCCTTTGCTGAAAACCAGCACCCCTTGCTAATCAATAGTTTAGATTATAGGAAGAATTAAATCAATTATGCACTCACATATTTATACAAATCGAAATACAGCGTGTACGGAGTTTTTTTTTTTTTTTTTCCTCATCTTAGTGAGATTACACTAATACTCTCTAAGTTGGAAAAGTGCTCTCTCTTTTTCTTTTAATGAAATTATGATAATTGAAATGAGGTTGCCATAATTAACATTTTTTGAGTTCGTGATGATCACTTTAATTATTTGTTTTCTTTCATAAGATGTGGGTTTCTGAGATTGTTTATCGATATATTATAACCATAAATTTATGGAATATATTACAACTGTTTTAATCATCTGATAAACATGTCAAAAAATCAGAATGTCCAATGCAAATTTTGATCTGTTTACAAACATACTGTTGACAAAGTTATTTTCCCACAATAAAACATACTGATGACAAACTTGATAAAAAATTTTCATGTGACCTCTTGGTGTCCACAGTTCTCTTTTCCGTTTATACCATCCAAATTTATTCTTTCAAACTATTATTTTACATACACAAATCTTTTATGGGTTGGCAAATAATGTGAAAACTGAACATTTAGGAATAATAAATGGTGTTTTTGAAAATCGTTTTTCTTTTTTTTTTCCTGCTTTTTTGTAAGCCTCCTAAAAACAAAATATAGTAATAACAAAGACAATGCTTACATCATCGAAAAATAATGCAGAGCCTAATTATATACTTCCTCCGTCCCATAATTATTGTCCAGTTTTTACTAAAATGAAAGATTTTATTTTTGGTCAAACTTAACTATATTTTACCTTAAACAACCGGATATACCCCTACATAAGTAATTGTTTAACTACTAAGATTTTATAGATAATGTTTTTTACTAAGGACAAATGTGTAATTTGATCCATAAAAAGTCAAATTGGACAATAATTTTGGGACAAAATTTTTTGGGCAAAGTGGACAATAATTATGAGACGGAGGGAGTAATTTTTTGGGTGCATCCTTAGTTGCTGCTTCGGCTTCCTCTAGAAAATTATTGGGAATGTTTTGCTATTTACGAATCAACAAATCACATTCGTAACTCATTTATAATTCAAATATCTTTTCGCATTTCTCATCAAGCGTCACCCTTGTATCAATAATGTGTTTCCCATTTCAGTTATCATTAAAACAATAATTTTGTGAATCTTCTTCAAACTTCGTAGGGTGGTGGTTCGACATGATTGTAAACTTTTGTAAGATTTTGTCCCTCATTGTGCTTTTGATATGAGTACTCTTATGATATATATTCTACTCAAATTCTTTACAAAATCTATACAGACTAGTCAAAACAGATTCTGTACAGGATCTAAAATTCATTTGCAGCCTTCATGGGAATATGAACTTGGATCCTCAACTTTGAAGGATTCAATAACTTTTGTCCTTGAACTGGGAAGTTCATTTTGTACGGGTTGCCAGGGAAAGCAATATGTACGCTGATATTTTGGCTAAAGAAGTGCTAGATCATAGAAGGAGAATATATTTTTTTGATGTTCTCCCTACATGTGTTGATATAATAGTTGCTAAGGAAGTTGTATGCATTGCGTGTGACAAATAAGGTTTACCTTATAGTTTGTGTTTTAACAAAAAAAAAAAAGAAAAAGAGATAGATCTTGCTAAAATCAAAACCTGGAAGTTTACACGTAGAGAGAAAAAAAATGTTTAAAAGAATTATTATACAATAATAACGATAAAGAAACAATTCAATTAAGAAGACATTGTACTAAATCAAGCATATACAGAAGTGGCTTATTAGCAAGTTTTCCGTCCATTCTAGCAAG